CCTGACCCGCCCGCTGCTCCCCTCAGCAGTGTGCTTCATCGATCTGCCTGTTCTGCTCCCCACTCTGTCTCTGGTGAAGTCTCTTGCCGCCCCTGCACCTCTGGCCTGTACCCCAGGCCATCTTTAAAAAAAAAAAGAAAGTCAAGGGAGAACCATGCTTAAGAGGCTTTCTGTCATTCAGAGATGACAGCAGTTTTTGTTGTTGTTGAGGAAGGTTGAGCTGCAGGCACACATTTATGGAATATCATCACCAGATTTAGGTGTTTTATACATGCAATTTTATTTGATTCTTAAAGCAGCCCTATGAAACAGAGTCATTATCCATATTTGCACACTCCAAGTCCCAAAACTCAGAGAGGGCAGAGCCAAAAATCTCAAACCCGAGTCTCTCTGACTCCAAAACCACAAGCATTCCTTCCATGTCTCATCAAAAATGAAACTTGTTATTTAAAAAAAAAAAAAGGCTAAAGAGAAGAGCTCATTAGAAAAAATCGATCATTATTTGAGAGCAAACTGCCTGTGTAATTTAGTGCCAATTTCAATTAATCTTGAAGTTTCTTTCATTCTCTTAACCTAACTCCTAACTTGGAGTCAGAAGCCCTTCTGAGCCATGCTCACAGGCCCTAGAGATGAAGCCAGTCCTGGGCACTGAGGTAATTCTGCCTGAGTTATCGCAAAGCAATCACAGAGCTGGCCCTTTCAACCCCTGGCTCAGCACTTCCTGTTCCTTATCACCCCTAAGTAGAGATAGGTGAACAGCTGTACAGAACAGAGACCATGGATCTGTATTCAAGTTCCAGCACCTCCACCTCCTAGCTCTTTGACCCGAGGCAAATACCCACTGTGTGCCAGTCACTGTGCTGAGTGTTTTAGAAATATTATTTCATCTTAATAATATAGCTATGGAGTAATAGAGAAAGGTTTCTAGAACACATCGTTAAGTTTATAAAAATAAAAGCATTGGTGGCTTTTTATACATTTGAATTTCAAACCACACGGCTACATTCTTTATGCAAAAATGTAAATGTATAGTTCAAAATAGCAGCCTAACATGCTTCAGCAGCAGATACTGTGGTTCGAACAAATACCAGGGTTAGTCAGACAAAGGTTGTGTTCCAATCTCACTGATCCCCTTACTTGTTGATGGACCCTGAGCAAGTTACTTCCTCTTCTGCAAAATAGGAATCAATGCCTACTTAGCACAGGGAGGCTGGGAAACTGGAGGAGGTGAAGGGTATGGAGATGCAAATACCAAGCTTGATGCCTCACAGCTACTCAGTCATGACTTACATTTTTCCTGAGACATTTGCGCCAGGCAGTACAAGATTATGCCGTGTTCTTAGTTTCAGTTTCCCAACAGCGCTCTTTGGGTACAGTTTTTGAGTCGGCTCTGAATATCCCTAACTGTGCTAACCTCACCTGTATTGCTACACCTCATCTGCACGAATGGTATGAAAGGGATTGTCCTTAATCTCCTTCACTCCCAAATCACATACCCACTAATTTCCCCTGCTCTCCCAGGCAGCTCGCTGTACCAAAAAAGGAAATGAGGTCTGGTACCACTTGCTCTGGAAGGCACCTGGGGTTTCCACTTCCCTTCCTAACTGCTCAGAAGCTTTCGGCGAAATAAGCTAGAGCTCCATGCTGTATGTGCTGTCATTGTCATTGGCTTAGCAGCTCTGGGAGGCAGCCTCCTTCCTTCTGGGGATCCAGCATGGTGGCTATCGTGCGTAACTGTGTGCTTGCAGTTTGCTGGCGAGTACATCTTAAATGTTCTCACTTAAAAGACAAAGTAGCTAGGTGAGGTGAGGAATGTTAATGTTCAGTAACTGGATTGTGTGTGGTAATCATTTCACAATGCATATCTATTTTTAACATTAGGTGGTACAACTTCACTATATACAATATGGTTGTTCAGTATCTCTCAATAAAATTGAGGGGAGGTTAAAAAAATTGGGGAAGTGCTTTTGCTCTTTTCTAGCCTTCCAACATGTTTGCTATCAGGATGCTGCTGGCACAGCCCATTTGAATTTACAATAGCGAGATTCTCTCTCTTCTGCCTTGGCATTTATCCTGCACTTTTTATTTCCCTTTATTATACTGGTTTGTTCTGTCCGTTCAAACCTGATGTATGGAAGAACAATATAACGGGAATGATCACTGAGATCCCAGCCTCCCACGCCAAGTCCCTGTGAGGTGCGTTGTTACCCTTCATTACCAGCTCTGCAACTGCCGCGCTTAAGAGAGTTTCTGTTATTTGGAGGTGGCCTCTCCAGATGGCCGCTGTGTGTCCCAGGCACAGGCTCAATGGTCCTGGAAGCCACAAGTGTTTTGGTGCTTGAAGGACACTTTTTCACTGTCAACTGGCTTCTGTTTCCAGCTGCTCTCAAGCTGAGGCACTACCCTTTTTTTGTTCCTTTAGTTCCCGATATGCTCTTTATCAAAGCTCCCTTTTTTATGTCTCTTCAGATGTGGGAACTGAATGAACCCACATGGGATTTCGGCCTTCCCAACCCCAGGCTAACAGATCGGCGCCATCCTGTGTGGGCTTCAGCTGGCGGCCCTCTACCTGTCACATGTGTCTTTGCAAATCTAAACAAACTGAAGAGTGATTGATTTCATCCAGCCAATGAAGCATCGTTATGACATCTTTATGGTTTAATAGCTCCATAACCATTGTGCTCAGCAATCAACGGGGATTGGACTTTCATTCCTACGTAACCTTCTTTGATATTGCATTCCCATCCCCTTCCTCTCGCGATTTTACACCATTGTGTTATTTTAAAAATTATTTTAAATTTATATACCACAAAATTAACTTTGTGTGTGTGTGTGTGTGTGTGCTGAATTCTATGGGTTTTGACAAACTTGAAGTCCAGTAACCCCCACCACAGTCCCACACAGGTTCATCACCTCAGGAACTTCCCTGGGGCTGCTCCTTTGAGCTTTTCTCCACCTCTATTCCTGATCTCTGGCAAACGCTGTCCTACCCCTATCTTTTCGCCTTACCCAGAAGGTGTGCAAATGGAATCCTACAGCATGCAGTCTTTAGTGTCCAGTTTCTTTCACTTCAAAATCTGTATTGGGATTCATTCATTCTTCATGCTTTCGTGTGGACAAAGCAGCCAGCTTACCCCAGCTCCCAGGAAGGACATTGAGCAGCTTACAACTTTTGGCAATTACAAAAAGAGCTACTTCAACCACGTGTGTGAACACAGGTTCTCATTTCATTTAGGTAAATAGTGAAGGTGGGATTACAGAGCTACAGAGGTGTGTCTTTCCTTTATAAGAAATGACCAAAGTATTTTCCATAGTGTCTATCATTTTGCATTTCCCCAGCAATGCATGAGAGTTCTAGTTACTTCTTTCCAACGATTGGTATTGCCAGTTTGTTTTAAAGTTTGCTCATCCTAATGGGTATGTAATGAAATCTTCTTGTAGTTTTAATTTGCATCTCTCTAGTGAGGGTGAACATCTTTTCATGTGCTAATTTGCCATCAGTGTAGCCTGCTAAGTGACATGTATGTACATGTCTTTTGCCCATGTGCTAACTGAACTGTTCAGTTCAGTTTTTACTTCTGAGTTTGCTTTTTTTTTTTTATGTATTCTAGATACTAATCCTTTGTCACATATGTGGTGTTAAGTACTTTCCCCCAATCTGTGGTTTGTCTTTCATTTATTAACAGTACTTTTCACAGAGGAAATGATTTTCATTTTGCCAAGGTTCAAATTATTAATACTTTTTCTTTTATGAATTGTGTTTTCGGTGGCATGTCTAAGGCCTGTTTGCCTAACTCTGGACTCAGGAGCCTAGATATTTTCCCTTATGTTTTATTTTTTTCCTTACAAGTTCTATCATTTTACTTTTTACACTTAACGTCCATGATCCATTTTGAGTTAATTTTTTCTATAAGATTGGAGACTTAGGATGATGTTCGTTTTCTTTTCCTTTCTTTTGTTCTCTTTTTTGGGGGACCCACCTTTGCCAAAAATAGCATATGTGTGTGGTTCCATTTCCACGTCCTCTGTTCTGTCCCACTGATCTGTGTTTCACCAAATACCACACTGTCTTGGTTATTGTTTCTATCTTGATTACTTTTTTTTTTTCTGTTGCTACAGTGCCCCGATGGTGTTATACGTTAAATATCCAGGATGGAGAAGCCACATGCTACTCACCGAGGGGAGGCAATTATCATAGCAGCCTGGGCACTCGCTGTGAGCTCTCCTGTGACCGGGGCTTTCGGCTGATTGGACGGAGGTCAGTGCAGTGTCTGCCAAACCGTCGTTGGTCTGGAACTGCCTACTGCAGACGTAAGTTGTGTGTTTGCATGTGCTGAGGTGTGTGTCCATGAGAACCCAGCCAACTGGCCGTCCACCAAGGGTACACACCTGGAGGTGTTACTATATTCTCTGTGAAGGGCAAATCAAGAACTTTCCATGGATCCCCCCCCCCCAAGGGTCTTTCCCATCCTAATAATATTTAGATCATTTCTTTCTCTCCTGTGGTTATTACCTGAGCAGCATGGGCATGTAAGTTAAAACGAGTTCTTCTGGTTCAGGGGTCCAGGTGTACATAAGGTAAGTCTTAGGCCCAAGGTTTGATGTGGTTCTGAGCCTTCCTCTGGACCTCTTGAATATTCGAGGTCTCAGACTCTTCCCTGCTTGTGGCAAATTGCTGCGCTTCCTAACTTAAGGCCTTGGAAGGTCTTGGGTAATGATACTATGAAATGTCTCCTTTCTTCATATTCTTCTGAAAGTCAAGAAGAATCCCTAATGTTAGAATATGGGATGCTAATATTGACACATTCCAAGTCATGTCCTCTTCAGCTCCCTAGTCCCTTTCCTGAGTTCAAATTCTATGCCCACCCCTCTAGTATCTGAGTTTTCCTGTCCATCTGGCCATTCCTGAATGCCATTTATAGGGAAGCCTGTGTAAATGGCCCTGTATGATCACTTCAGGACTATACTTACTTCTTTAAATGACCCAGGTTGCTTATAGACTAAGGAGTAGAGACACAAACATGCGCACATGAATACAGTGTAACTGGATCAGAGAGGTGAGCACTGGAAGAGAAATGGGGTTGGTCAGAGAAGACATGATGAAGGAGAGGAGAAGCTCAATAGCCAGAGAGAAGGAAGTCACCACATTCCTTGGGTGACGGTAATTCATTTGAGACTTAGACCCCATCGTTCTTAAAGTGAATATGAATTGCCCTTACAAAATGAGAATAATATGCCTGTACATTCATGCACTGAACATGAAACCAGTGAAATGAATGGAGAGGTCCTTAATTCGAGGTGCCTAGCATGATGCAGTTGCTATATTCGAGCACTGAATCTAGCTTTGTCCTTCCTCATAAAAGACAAAAGCATGAGCACTTGGGATCTCTTAATTTCACTGTCATATAATACTAAGCAAACAAATTCATCTGAAAAGACAAACCTTCTTCTTGGCCTTGACCTCAAGGAGGTCATTTTTTATAGTCTCTACATAAAGGATATTAGAAATTAGGGAAGGTAATAATCTTCAAATCTGGTTTGGCGAAGAAGCAAAACAAATATAGTTTGATGTAGCTTTATTCAAAGCTCCAATAATTGAACTAAGGTAGGGGGAGAACCTAGACCTCCTAGAGAAATGTCTGGTTTGCCTATTCCTCTCTGTAAGTATCTCAGATGAGATTTGGCACAAGCTTGCCATCAGTTCATCCGAGCAGTGTGCATGTGTGAGACACGTGGCATCTAAAGCACACAGGTTCCTCCTGAATCAACAGCACCAAAGCTGGCCCTCCAGGTAGTGCTCTGACTAGTATTCCCACCTGGACAGAGGCCCGCCTTCCTCACCAGACATTGAACTTCAGCTGAGGAGTGTTGTGCTAACACCAACACTATACCCAAGAAGGAGCTTTCGATTTGTTCCAGGGCATCTAGCATTTGAGAAACAAGAGACAAAAAGGACCAGCTGCCGAGGCTTACTAAACCTGGGCCCAGACAGTCTTAGGGATTCTCTTTTGGTCTGCACAAGGATCCTCTGAATTATTCACTTTTCGCGGATGAAAACACTAAGACTTGGACAGAGAAGGTAACTTGCTCAAATGCCAGCTAGTAAAAGGTGGCGCTGGGGCGCTAACTCGGGTCTGATGCCGAAATCTATACACTTGGCCGGGTAATTGACTTATTTGAGACTCTCCCCTGTCCCCCTCCCCCATTAACAACACTGCACTTTATAATATAGAAATAAACCGGCACAGGAAAAGAAAGCATTTAGGCTCGAAAAATGGGAGGGCAGTTTGGGGTCGGGTTTCCTCTGCTGTCTGTGATGTGTTCCTCCCATGCTAGATGCCCGGTACCGCCTCCAGATAGTCCTGCCAGCCACTGAGCTTGCCACTTGGTTCTCTCTTAGAGGTGAGATGCCACGCGCTGCCACTCATCATTAGTGGCACCTACACCTGCACAAATGGGGTGCTTCTTGACTCCCGCTGTGACTACAGTTGTTCCAGCGGCTACCACTTGGAAGGTGACCGGAGCCGCATCTGCATGGATGATGGACGATGGAGTGGAGGCGAGCCTGCGTGCGTAGGTAAATGCTGGTGGCGACCAGTCATCCTGCTGCAAAAAGCCACTATGACGCTATGTACACACAGGCTGTGCAGTTCTCTCCACCCAAGGCATTCCCTCTTGCTGTGAGCATGCACGCCACGCATGCACTCAGCAAAGTGATTGCTCCCCTGGCCTCAGCTTCCTTCTCCAGTTTCATTAAGCATCTTGAACCGAGAGCACGTTGCATACCTTCCTAGTGGTGTGGTCGTGCTGCTGTGGGTTCCCTCCAGGAAAAGCAGGGGCTCACCAGTTAGCACATGATTTCCGACCTTGACAGACATAGATCCCCCCAAGATCCGATGCCCCCACTCACGTGAGAAGATGGCAGAGCCCGAGAAACTGACGGCTCGAGTATACTGGGACCCACCCTTGGTGAAAGATTCTGCCGATGGTGCCATCACCAGGTGAGCTGGAAGAGCGGTGCTCCGTAAGCCCCGTGGCTCCTTGCAGGCTCGCAGGCCGTCCTGAATTGAGGGCAGTGGGATGGGCCCCAGGCCTCAGTGCTGAGGGTTTCTTTCCTCAGTGACTCTTATACCCTGTCTCATGCAGAGTGACACTTCGGGGCCCTGAGCCTGGCTCACACTTTCCAGAGGGAGAACATGTGATTCGTTACACGGCCTATGACCAAGCATACAACCGGGCCAGCTGCAAGTTCATTGTGAAAGTACAAGGTCAGAGAGAAGTCTTCCACAGCCACATTGCTCATTATTCTTGCTGAGTCCTGACCTTCAAGATGCCCACCACACCCTCCCCTCTGTGTGCCTGAAACAGACACCTCATTTATACTGGGAGAGGGAAAAAACAAGTTCTCTGGAGGGTCATTCAGGAAGCCTGCCTCACAGTGCATACACATTTCCAAATCCCTGACTCCCCAGCTGGACCTCCTCATTCTCCTGAGTCTACATAAACTTGACAGATCATCTGTGCTTGTTTCTCTTTCTTGGCCTTTAAACTACTGATTTTGCTTAGTCTTCTCTCTCATTTTTTCACCTCTGCTGAAATTGGCGGCCTTAGTTGCCTGATTCTTCCTCCTTCTTCCATATTGTCTGGTTTTACTCAAGATAAAAATAATTTATGCTCATTGACGAACACTTGGGAAATAAATCTTCAAAGGGAAAAAGGCCTGTTACCTCATTGGTCCAGAGACAATTGCTTTTGGGATTTTCCATCCAGCTTTTTTTTTCCTATACATACTTTTAAAAATATATAGTAGATACCATACTATATATCCAATATTAGATCACCATTTTCATGATAACCTACGTATTTTCCTTTGTTTCTTTAGAAAACCCTTGGAAATATTTTTCACAGTATAATAAGCTCTTTCTAAAAAATATTGTAACACCTCTGCTGATGGACATTTAAGTCTCCTCTCCTTTATTTTTGCTATTTAAAGTGATTTAATAAAGTGGTCATATTAAGGCAGGGTATTCACAAAGTCTGAAAACAAAAGCAGCAATATACATATATTACAGATTTACATATGTAAATATATATAACAGATTGATAGTGTTTCCATGACAGCACGTAAACGTGCTTGTGCTTCCAAACTTTATGAACACCTTTATCTGCATTTCAGATTTAATTTCTTAGAAAAGGAAAATTCTGGCTCTCTCCAGGCTACTGGAAACAGAGACACCATTCATTGTGATCACCCAAGGCCTTCGGGTTTAAAAAGTCAGCCTGGGCGCCCTCTGAGCCTTGTTTTCGTGGCAAGAGAGACATCAGAGCAACTAACTGAACTTCTCTCTGACAGTGAGGCGTTGCCCAACGCTGAAACCGCCACAGCATGGCTACCTTACCTGCACCTCAGCAGGGGACAACTATGGTGCCACCTGTGAATACCACTGTGACGGGGGTTATGAGCGCCAAGGGACCCCCTCCCGCGTCTGCCAGTCCAGCCGCCAGTGGTCGGGATCACCACCCATCTGTACCCGTGAGTAAAAGCAGAAGCTGGCAGGAGCAGCCATGTTACATATGTATCACGAGGGTCCGATGGCAATGAGTAGACGCGGAAATGGGATTCTGAGATGTGTAGGTTTTAAGGGCCAGTGTTTCCCCATAGAATACCCCTACTCCAGGAAGAGGGGTTTAAATTGTGCAAGTGGTCTTTCAGGATCTCCCCAAGGAACGGGAGAAACAACCAGAGCCTCAAGCTCACAAACTAGAACTCCTAAAGATGTTTTAAGCAACCTGTACTGAGAGGAAAGGGAAGGAAACCCTCTGACTAGCATCGGCTTGTGCCCTAGCTATGAAGATTAACGTCAACGTCAACTCGGCTGCTGGCCTTCTGGATCAGTTCTATGAGAAACGGAGACTTCTCATCATCTCAGCTCCCGATCCTTCCAACCGCTACTATAAAATGCAGATCTCTATGCTCCAGGTGAGGCCCCTAATCAGGGCTCAGTCCTGACCCCACTCCTCACATCCCCTTGGGTTCCCAAGCTGAAAAGCTGCTCTCTACAGCACAAACCGTTTTTCGAACTTTCTGTGGATAGCATTTGATCAGTTTCACTGCAGACAAATTTAGCACATTTTTAAAACTTACTATTTTTTTTTAATCAAAAAGGCAGCAAGGCCACAGGAATGGTGTTTGTGCCTTACAGTGGGCTTGGTGAAGGATGGGAGGGGTGTGGGACAAGCACTCTGGAGAGACTTGTAAGATGATTATGATCACATAGAAGTGGTGGGAGTCAATTATGTTTTCAAAGAACAAAAGCAGAAACAAACATCCAGGCAAAAGGTGTTACACAAGTGTCAGGTGAGTACATGCTCTGTGTATCAGCATTTAATTCTCACACCAATCCTTAAGAGGTAGAGACTGTTACTATCCCCCATTTTATAGATGAGGAACCTGAGACATAGAGGGGTTAAGACTTGTGCAAAACCACTAGCTCAGGAGTGGCCAAGCTGGGATTGAACCTGGGCAGTCTGACTCCAGGGTGTGGCCTTGACTCCCCCCAGAAGCAGGACAAGCATTGTGATACTTCAAAGTAAAATGAGGGGGTCACATGACAAGTTTTTGCATCACCAAAGCACTATGGGGAAGAAGAAGAGAGGGCATCATAGGTATGGCCCCCGTGACTTGCAAGAAAATACACTAGCTTCTGGGACAGAACTGTGTGCCAACATGACTAACAGAACCAGTTCAGATAGGCTGCAGTGGGCTGGATACCCAGGTAAGGGAAGAAATGACTTTGGGGTTTCTAAAGGTTGAGAGGTTGATTCTTACAAGTTGCCAAGTGGCTACTGGGGCAGCCCATGGCGGAAGCAGTTTTGTTAAAAGCATGAGCTTGGGTGTGTAGATCCTAAAGGCCCTTGTTCCTTCAGTGATCCAAAATAGGAAGACAAAGTAGTAAGTCAGCTGGAACCGGAAGAGCCAATGGAGACAGTGTGAGGGTCCCCACCAGAGGAGCAGCCCAAAGCCGAAAGCAGGTGTGCTTGCTGCTTCTGTGGCCTTGGCCTGGGCCTGGGGCATGAGGCGCCCCTGCAGGACAGGCAGCACAAAGAGCCAGGCCTGGATTTAGCCCGTGTGGCCCAGGGTGAGGAAGACGACAATGGTTCATGGAAAGAGCACTGAGCACCATTCTAGGAAAGTTCCAGAGACTGAGAGAAGACACTGGTCATGCTGTATAGTGGGGAGCAACATCCACTTGGGAGGCAGCTTCAGCCCTCAGTTTGCTTCAGGGCTCAGCATCTTATTGTTGTCATGGAAATTTGGGCAAGTTAATTTACAGAGTAAGAATAATACCATCTACCTGCTAGGGTTGTTGTGAGGATTAAATTATTCCTGCAAAACATTAGGTATGTGTTCAATAACAACAGCCATCCTTGCAGGACCTGTGCAGTTTAAAACCTTTGCGAAACTAAACAGAGACGATGCTCCTGCTGAAATTGAGGGATGACATTTCTCTTTTCTACCCCACCTATTAACCATTTGCATATACTTCCTCCAGATTAAGGGCAATATGGCAGGGCAAGAGCCTTGGGAATGACAGTAAAAGTCTGTAGAACCCCCCTGGTGTGCTGGCTGGGGGAGAAGCCCTCCTTTCCCACACCGTCTCACATGGTCCTGGAAGGTATCAGCTAAAGAGCCTTAGGTTGGAGTGAGGGAGCCTAGGCCATCAAACGCTCTCCCCCTCCCAGCAATCCACCTGTGGACTGGACCTGCGGCACGTGACCATCATCGAGCTGGTGGGGCAGCCACCTCAGGAGGTGGGGCGCATCCGGGAGCACCAGTTGTCGGCCAACATCATCGAGGAGCTCAGGTCCAGGCTTGGGGGCTGCAGGGAAGGGGCAGACAGGACGCTGGCAACAGAGGCTGTGGGGGGCATCTGCAGACACTCCTATCTCGGGGCATTCCTTGTGGTTGTGCTCTTAGGTGAGAGCTGACAGGCGCGGGACCTCAGAGCTAAGTGGGGCAGAGTTTGAAATTCAGATGACCAGGCCCCACCCAAAGCTTCCTCAGGAATGTGCTTTTATAAGGCCTGTCAGGTGACACTGAAGCACAACCAGGACTGAGACAATTACACCCAAACATGACTCAGTGAGACCTCTGCTACTGTGGCCTCATGGCCTCTTCTGTTTGCCCTCAGTCCTCAGTGGAGCAAGACATCTTAAGAGCCGAAATCTAAATCTAAGACATCTGCCCCCGGAATAAAAAAAAAAAAAAAAGGACCAAGGTGACAGTTGGTAGCAGCTGACTTTTCTTATCTATTCATTATCAACCTTCCAATTACCTCCACACATACTCATGGCCAATAAAGGCACTGCTGCTCCTGTTCTGGAAATAGTAATTGCTTCTAGGGCTCAGACGCAGTGGGGACAAAAAGATTCTGTCCCAGGTAGACCAGGAAACACTCACAGAAAGGAGACTGCAATTCACAGCTGTAGCTAGAAGAGCTGACCCTCAACACCGAGCAAGTTCAGGGATGTCACATGCAATTGTGCAGCGACGCCCAGCCCAGCTCCGGAACACATTAGTCATGTCCCAGTGATGTGGCTAGTGCACCCAGAGTGACTGTGAGGCCTGCAGAGTGACAGGTGCTGGTTCCACTTGGGGCCTACAGTAGAAGTGCAGCCTAGTAAGAGCAAAATTGCTCTATTTGGACTGAGGCAGAGAGCTTAGGGCAGGAAAATGACGGTCTTGGCAGAGAATAACAACAGGACAAGTAGAGAGAATAGGGTCAGGGGCCTAGTGGGAGTGGGAATCAATCCTGCAGTGGAGCTATGAAAGGGCAGTGGAGCCTGGAGGGCGGGAGCCCAGAAAAGGCCTCACATATCCCTGGCCTCCTCTCTCTAGGCAATTTCAGCGCCTCACTCGCTCCTACTTCAACATGGTGTTGATTGACAAGCAGGGGATTGACAGGGAACGCTACATGGAACCTGTCACTCCTGAGGAAATCTTCACGTTCATTGATGACTACCTACTGAGTGACCAGGAGCTGTCCCAGCGCCGGGAGCAAAGGGATGTATGCGAGTGAACTTGAACCAGAGCATGACTCAGGTCAAGAGAAAAGCTCCCCTAGCTGAAACCGGGGCGCTGGTTTCCCAGAGTCCTAAGGGACAGGACTCTGAGGTGGGTGAGGTTTACCAATCCCTGGACATTCCAGGCATCCCATTAAGGCTGTGTGATGGCTTGACTCAGCAAGTCTCTGCTCTAGGTAGCACTGCAGGAGCATAAGAAGCTGAGGACAGGCCCTGGGCTGTGGGTTTGGGTAGAAGGTCTATGTGTCCTAAGCGCCCGGCACTGTAAAATCTTCCAGATACATGTAACGGTCCCCTACATCCACAAGACACAGGGTCTAAGACCCCCAATGGATGTCTGAAACTATGGATACTACCTAATCCTATATGCTATATTTTTTCCTATATGTGTATCCCTAGATAAACTTTTATTTAAGTCAGGCACAGAAAGATAACCATAGTAAAATGAAACAATTATAACAATATACTGTAATAAAAGTTTTATGAATCTGCGCTCCTCCCTTTCTCAGAGTATCTTAGTGCATGTAATATTTTCAGACTGTGGTTGACTGTGAGTGACTGATGGATGGGAAACTGCCATACCAAGCGGCTGGTATAAATGGTCGCACAACCCTGAGGTGACAGCAGGGGGCAGCACCATCATCACTATCCGGATACAAGTGGACCTAGCTGAATTTTCTTTACAGGTTATTTGTATCACTGGAGATGGCAGAGCTTCAAAACCTTCTTGTAGGTTTTGGCATTGGGCTACAAGTGTTATGTCCACCACGGCTTTAGCCAAGATTTAGCAAAATACTGCCATGGCAGAGAGCTTGGGAAGAAAAGTCAGGCCAGAGCAGAATGCCTTCTCCTGGCCTTTGCTGTTGGCTGAGAGGGCAATAAACCCTATTTCTGAGCCTCCAGTCCCCACAGTGAAGGGTAACTGGTGCTTTTCCATTGTCAGAAATGCCCCGGATGTTTATCTAGGAAACCACAAAAGCCAACCCCAGTGAAGCTAAATAATGAAGACAGAAAAAGAAACCAGACTGAGCTTGTGCGTGAACTTACTTAGATTCCACTTTTAAGAGATGGACACAGAACCGGGGAAGCTCAGTGTGACACACAGCCTTGAAAGACAGGCCTGGAAATAAAATTAAGCCCGTGGTTCAGTATTTGAAAGAAAAGTGTTCATCTCTTACTGTTTAGAACATTCTTTTCTACACTCATAAAACCCAGTGTCATGATGAAGACTCAGTAGTGTTTCTCTGTCACCTTCATGTCAGGGGGTCATCTGTGGAAATCTAGGTGAAGGCAGAGGGCTGGATAGAGAAGCAAAGCCAGAGCACTCACTATGTCCTAGGTGCTCTGAGATCTTCACAGAGTACATGCTGTCATTAGCCTTGTTCCATGGACCAGAGGGTTGAAGCAGAGAAGCTAGGCAACTTGTGTGACATCAAACAGCTTGAATGTGGCAGAGTTGGGGATGGACAGATTGACTTTTTTACTGAGGTACCATTGGTGTAATAACACAGGTGTTGCAGAGGTATAGGACGACACCCCTTCCGAGGATGTTACCATACCAGAGCTGGGATTTAAATGCCAACAGCCAGAGTCAATGCTCTTAAGCATTACGCTATGCTGCCTCTATTTCTTTTTCCTCTTTTCATTTCAAGGCGCCTGACAGCACTGATCAAGGGAAAAGGTTTTATCTTCTATAATGCCACTTACACACAAAGCTCAGAGTGGGCCCAGGAGGAAAGGGAAATAAAAGGGTTTCAACTCAAGAAAAGCCACTCTCCAAAGCAGAGTGATGGGACATAAATCACAAGCCCAGAACATATGGGGGTGGTAGTGAGTCACAGAGAAACTATTTCCACTGGGATTTTTGTAGAAATCCCTTTTTAAAAATGCAAGATAAAAAGTTTGGCAGGTTTTTTTATTTTTGGAGGGGGGCCGAAACCAGAAGAAATTATCAAACCTGGAGCAAAAAGGTCCCTTTTCCCTCCTCCCTCCAGAGAAACAGGGAATATGCAAGTTATGAGCAGAAGGCAGAATACAGTGAGTTCCTGTGGGAAATCTGTGGTCAAACAGAGTCTGTGGTTCCAGAGGCAAAGGCTGCCCTATTGCCAACAGCAAGGGGCAAGGTAGTAGGCCAAAGGCCTACGTGATGACAGCAGTCCACTCGCTGTCTCCTGAACAGAGTCCCTGAACAGAGTCCCACCCCCCCCCGCCCCCCGGGTCTGACTCTCACATGTAAATGTTCCCCCATCTTAAAAAAAAAAAAAAAGCGAGGAGCTTTGTTGAGTTTCATTTTATTGAATAGTCAAGGCATGTCAATCTTGGTTTAGGTAAAGTTTGGCTGTAACCTCTTTTGCAGATTATTCACGACACCCCAACTTCTAAAGAATAGCAGCGACATCAGGTCCATAGCCAAAGGGGGTTAGCCCACCTCCCTCTCTGCCCCCCACCACACACACACACGCACACGCACATGCACACACACACACACACACACACACCGGAAGCTGTTCAGCAGTAAGTTAATTAGTTCACAGTCAAAGCTTTCTGACTGTTCTATTTTGTAAACTAAACATATTTCCTTGAGACAATTTAGAAGAGCCACCCCTTCCTTTGAATCTTGCCCACAACACACATCACCCTAGCAGGAGGCAGCATGGTACAGGAGACTCACACTCAAATCCCAACTCTGTTGTATGACAGTGAGCTTGAGTTTCATCACATGCAAAAAAGAAAATTTTCCAACTATGGTGTTTGGAGAAATTATGGAAATACAATGTGCTCAGCATAAAGCCTCGTACACAAAAGGAATTCAGTATCTTTTTATACCCTTCTGTCTAAGAGCTTACGAATCACTTTGGTTCTATGTAGAAATCAGACCCTTATGTGTGAGATGGGTTATCTAGCATCAGCATCATTTCTCTCTCAAAACTAAATACTGGCAATAGAAGTGAAGGAAAATGAAAGGTCTTACCTCCTATAGATATGGAAAGATCCAGAAAGAAACATGCACAAGAGAGTAGGGGAGATATGGATGAGAACTCTCTAGACACCAGACACAAAAGATAAGTGAGTCAGACAGCAATGTGGATGAAGGAAAACGTCCTTTGAATCAGAACAGGGCAGTTAGGGGAAGGTGTTTGGCACACTCATTCTCATCCTTCTGGCCACATGAAAAGCAACAATAGTAAGTCAGGACACAAAGACAAAAGCATCTATAGAACTAACAAGTGCAAACATTTGACAAATGAGAAAGTTTTTATTGAGTGGGTGCACATACATTTCTGGGCTTTAGCGGGGAGACGACAAAGAAGCAAGTTACAGTCCAGGATTCCAAGTTATGCCTTCCATTACAGTAGCAACCCACATCAAATGAACCTAAAAATGCCCTTCCATTCAGTTCACACCTTCTTTAGAAAGTGCCATAGCTGCCATCAGTCCAATAATGAGAGTCAACTAGTCAACTATGCTGAAAGCAGTTTCTTCTCCAGTATACATTCCTCTCACAAACCACTCTGTGTACATACAGTTGTAAGAATAAAACGATCTGTCTGGAGCAACATATATCAGAAAAGGAGCCTTAGGACACTAGGCCCTCCTCAGAAAGCTCTCAACACAGCATACCCTTCTGGGCCGAGTTCAGGAAAGAACAGAAACTAAAACCACTGCAAGAAAGAAATCAGAGGAACTGGGAGAGTGTCTGGGGCTCGAACAGCGCCCATCCTGGAGAAACACTGTGCTTGGTTGTTCTGGATGAGAGAACAGTATGCAGACCATGTTCGGTGTTCACCTGTGACCACAAACACCGAAACAAGAAAGATGGGGGATATGCGAGTGAAATGTCTCATCTTTCTTTCCAACAACCACTGTATCCATTGCCAATGCAATGAATTCAGCATCAGCTGGGAGACAATTCATCCTCATTCACTCTGGTCCACTGGAACCACTCAGAAGTTCTTGCCGGGCATGTCCATGACTCAGTCACTATCCAAGAGCTTTTCTAAAACACCTACATTATAAGGGCTCACCAAAGGTTTAGTGAAGCTGTCTAGAGCAGATAGGAACTGAGGAATGTTCTTAGCATCTGAAGGAAAACAATTAGACCCCAAGCAAGGTGGACATTGGTATTTGTTAAGAGCCAAGTTCCAGAAATGTACCAAGGCAAGGAATGAGTTGAAAGCAGACATACACTGGAGACGATGGAGAGCACCTGCACACCTCTTTCCTGCGTTCTTCTCTTTAGCAGCCCATCCCCGCCTCCCCGCGCCAGACACACTCTGAAATCCAGGTGAATGTGAATGCCAAGGTAACAGGGCTTCCTGGGAAGTGGAAACAAGGGCAGCAAGACAGGGGATAAAAAGTTGTTTTGGAACTTTTTTTTTTAGAGTTAATTAAACCACACAAAGGTGTAGGAAAGACAAGGCTCTGAAAATAGGCTAGAGTTGGCATAAATAAAAACATTTTTGCCTGCTGTGAAAGGGGAGAGTCTGCAGCACTTTGGCAGATAGATCTGTGGAAATACTAGCTTGTACGCACACATACATCACACACACATGAATTAAATGTTCGCTCTTGGTTTCTTCGCTTCCTCTCAATTGCCCTGGTCAGGGCTGGACCCGCAGAGAAGGGCAGGGCCTCATAAGCCCAGCTTCTCCTTGGCCATTGAGGAACGGAGCTGCAGAGTCCCTTCTGCCCAAGACCCCGGGTACTGTCGCATCTTCTGCCACAGGCTCACTTCTTCCCCAGTCGAGTCCATCCAGTCCACCACTTCCCCATTACTGATCCCTGAGGAAAAACACCAGAGCAGGCTGAACAGGTACTCCACTCTCAACCCACCAGGAAAGATGGGTTAGACAGCTTTAAGAGACAGAGCACTACACAGATGGCTCGATTTGGGCAGTATGCAAACTGCTGCCCACTGAACCTGCACAGCTCTTTCTGGGTGCCACAGACTATCAAGAGATGTGAGGTTGATGAAATGGGACTCTGAGGGCGCACAGCAGCTGGAGACCTCTGGTTCAGAGGGTGTTCTTGGTCTCTTCTATGTGTAATGGCTCATGCCAGAGCGCCTGCCCTTCTGTTCTTGTCAAACTTAAGTTTTTTTCTTTTAAGAGAAGTTGAACACATTCTCTTCTAGTCACTCTGGCACTCTGGAACCACCCAGAAGCTAGATGGTTCTATACCCTGGAGCTGTAGATTCTAGGGCTGAAGTTCAGGTTCTATGTCACTTCATTCTTATTCTCTTGTACATTCATTCATTCAACAAACATTTACTGAGGGCCTACTGTGTGCCATTACACTTCTAGGCTCTGGAGATACTGTGGTGAACAAATTCCACCCCCCCAAAAAAGAAAGTCTTGTCTGCTTACATTTGAATAGGGAAGACAATTTAAATCAACAGTCGTATTTCACACAGTGAGGCAAATGTCATAAAGTAAGTAAATAGGGGGAAAATGTGCCTCGATGAACGTCTCCCTTAGGGGGCGCTGTCTCAGGGTCTGTCTGAGAAAGAATAAAAGATCTGGAGGACGGAAAGGAGTCAACCTTTCCAGAGGGAATGTGAATTGCAGAAGTTATAAATTGCAAACCAGCTTGTGTATTTGGAGGGCAGAAAGAAAACCACTGCAACGGTTGGAGCATCATGAGCGCACAGGGGCGTGACACTAGATGGAGCTGAAGGAACAGGGTCCAGATTACAGCCTGCAGGCGTGGTTAGGGCAAGAAGCACAAGAAGCCACTGGCTGGAGGGTGAAAGCTTCGTGTGAATGCAGAGGCTAGAGAGAGAAATGAAAGATTCAATACAAAGCCCTGGAAGCACCAATATTAGAGTTTGGGTAGAGAATGAAGAAATCACAATGAAAAGTAGAAGCTAAGTCTTTCAAGCACAAGGAAGTCATCAGCTATGTTAAATGGTGTTGAAAAATCTAGTAAGATGAACACAAAACTTTGGCATAAGCAACCACTCAGAGGAGAGGGGAGCAGAAGCCACGGTGGACTGAGGATAACAGAGGAGGTGAGGAAGTGGAGACAATTTTTTTTCAGAAATTGGGGGGGGGGCATGAGGTACAAGAAAGGTTTATTTCTGTTTCTTAAGATTGGAAATACCAGAGCAAATCTGTATTCATCTCCAGTAGAGAGGTGTATAGAAACTGATCAAACAGAAGAGAGGGATGACAGAAGTGAGGTCACCGAAAAGATGAGGGTGTGATCCAGAACACTGGAAAGGGTTTGGCCTTGCTAAGAAAGGCCCCTTCTTCCATTATAACACGACGGAAGATGGCAAGTATTGGTACACATATAGGTAGGTTTGGAGATTTTTTTGGTGGGAAGACGTGGCATTCCTGGAAATGAGGGTCACATTTATCTGTACACATAACAGTGTATGAGCTTGGCTTTTGCCTTGGCCTGGCACATAGTAGGCGCTCAGTAAATATTGGTTGCATGTTAACTGAAAGGAAAAAAGACAGCTCTTATCATAGAGCAGCTGTGTAGGGAGAGGGATGGGCAGACTGGGAGTGAAAGACACAAGAGGCCTTTAAGAGCAGAAAGGAGGGGGAAAGAGTCTCACCAGTGCCAACACCCAGCCTGACCCCTCCCAGGAAGTCATTGCTGGCCAGGGGCTCCCGGTCCCACACAGTCAGTTCCAGGCACATGTGCTGTAGATCTTCCAGCCTCACACCATTGTAGACAAATGTGTGGTTGTAGTGGGGGTTCAGGGTCTTCTTCATCACTGGAGTTTTACGCTTACTGGCCTTGTTCCTCATGGGAAGGAGGTATCTGGCAGAGGGCGGGGAGTAATCAACAACCTACTCAAAGCCAGCAAGCCCTGTCTAAATTCCCTTTCCCCTACCACAGGCCTAGCTCAGGAAGGTGGGTCAACACTCAGACCCTCGTACACACACTCCTTCCTTTGAATTCGCTGACGCACCGTTCCTACTACCTCCACTCTATCCTTTACCTGATTCCTTTAAACCTGGGTTGGTGGGGGGGGGGGGAGGAATCAATATAATGTTATTAGTGAACTGTTACCAAAACCAAAAATGGGTTTTAAGTATTTGCTTTCACTAGGTAATGTCCTCTTTAAATAAAACCCATAGGCAAACTGTAGGCAAAGCCTATACTATTTACTACTATTCTCTATTGACTAGAGAACTTAAGTCAGTGGGGGTGATCTATAATTTGGGGGATGCTAACAATATTAAATATTGTCAGGAACAAAGACCTGAATTCCCAAGCTTTGACAGTTGGGGGAACTGATTTTATTTGGGATTAAAAGCACAAATAAAGGGGGAAAGTCAGACCTATCTGTCTACCTACCCTCCTCTTTGAAATCAGCACTTCAGCCCAGTCCCAATCAAGCTAATACCAGCGCAAACGTGACAGTGGCATTTTACCATTACCTAATTTTAAGAACAAAGCTGGGTGCTTGAGGTAGTAGACATCTAAGAATGTTCACAGAGAGGTTAACTCGGGGTCATTTCTTAGTTCTCTTGTCCTGAAACTGGTTAGTTTGGTACTGGTCCAAGGACTCACCCCTTGACAAAGCTGTCTGAAGTCCCTCCTGATTTGGCAGCCGTCAGGTTCTTGGCTTCTTTGATCCACACCTGGAGCTCTCCCCCTTCCCCACCTTTACCTGCAAGGGATGTCAGCCATAGCAAGTAAGTCCCTACACCTCCAGATTTCTCTGGAGCTTTAGCTACATAGCACTTCCCTTTTCGCTCCTGAAGGCAGCAAGCTCCATGACAACTGGACCACACGGGACTTGTATTCTCAGTATCTAGCCCAGGATCTGACAGCAAGCAATAGGTGCTCAATGAATAACAATGGCAATAACCATAAATGCTTATGGGAAGTGGGCTATGTCAAATTCCACATGAACACTTAATTCTCAAAAGGACCTCAGTTTCTGTCTTCATTTTATAGATGAATGCTCTCCAATGAGTGAAAAAGAGGGAATTCCTCCACCTGTGTTTATGATCTCATCTCCACTTGACAGGACTCAGGGCATCATCGATTTCAACCCCCAATACCAAGTTTTAATATAGGTTTCCCCCACTAGTTGAAAATAGAAGGTTCTTATTTGGTGATTTGGCAGGTTATTTTGGGGGCCTGGGAATGCGCAAAATTTTTCTATGTAAATTAATGGTAATAGCAATCCCAGACTCCCCAAATAACCTACCAAGTCATACCAAATAGGAATGTTCTACTTTCAGGTAGCGGAGGAAACCTGTATCTCTTTTCTCCACTGGCCCCATCCCTACCATCTAAATATGTGCTAACCTCATCTCTTCTTTTTAAAGAACACTTTTAATAAAAAATCCTCATTCAACCTTATCTTCCCTACAAACTATTCTCATGTCTCTTCTTTTTTTAGCAATCAATTATCCTGAAAAATATAGCCCACACTCACCACCTCTAGTTTGACTTGTTCAGTCAGCCTAGCTTCCAGCTTCTGCTTCCACTGAAAATATAATCTAATGCCAATGAGCCATGTCTTCTCAGTCTTCCTCAGGCCCGCCCTCCTGTTAGTTCTCCAACAGTGTGGACAGTCTCGCTCCCTTCTTCAGACTGTCTCCCAGCGCTGCTCTCTCCTGATGGCCCTCTAGACTTCACTACTTTTTATCCTCTCTTCATCCTTTAAGATGTTGCTGTTCCCTACATACAGTTCTATCTGGCCTCTCTTCTCTAGTTATCCACACCCTTTTTTGGGGGGTCTTATTGACTTCCCACATCTTTTAGCTTACCCCTTGCTGGCAAGTATCATTTTAAGAACCTTCCCATTACCAATGGGCCAAGTTCAAATCCTTGTCATTATGTTCAAGGCCTGTTCAGTGAGCATATCTCCAGTGGTAGCCCACTCTCCCACACATACCACTGCCCCAGCTCCATTGAAATAGAAGTTCATTCCCTCACACTCATACACAATCCACATGCACCAGGCCTTTCTCAAAACTTTCGCTCAGGCTATCTCTCTTCCAGAAGTCCTCTATGTTTTACTTGCGTGGCACAGCTGTAAGTCCAGTTGCTTCATCATTTCCTCTCTAATGTTTACCCATTCATCATTCCCATATCTGTGCTCCTTTAGCAATGACTACCTTTCCAGTTAAATTAGCTCTATAAGGATGGGCAATGTGTCTTATACTGGTTCGGTTAAGCTCTGAAAGGGTGGGAAACTTGTCTTATTCATCTACGTATCTTTAGTCCCTAGCACAGTATCTGCCACGTTGACTTATTCTTCCTCAGCCTTTGACTCCCTGTTCCTCATATTTCACCACGCCCTCTAACCACCCTTCCTTAGCCCTGAAGATCCAGTTCTGATCTCCCTCTTAGTAGCTTGTGACAACTACTAGACTTTAATGATAAAAAAAAGGAAAAGGAAAGAAAAGGAAAGGAAAGAAAAGAAAGGAAAAGAAAAGAAAAGAAAAGAAAAGAAATGCTAGCCGAAGGCTTTTTTTTTTTTCTTGTTAAAATCTGTATAAAGGTCTCACTTAGTAATTGATTTCTTCACTAGGAGTTGATCCAGGAGATGGCTGCATCTCAATCTGGTTTCTCCACCAGTGCAAGCCACTGGCCAACACCACCTCACACGGATCCAGTACAGAAAACTAAGTGCTAAATCCAGGGCCCCAAAGAAAACTCACTCTTTTTCCGGTCACCTCCAACAGGAAGTTTGGAGGCTGGGATGTATTTCAATGAAACCACCAACTCGCCTTTGTGTGATGGCAAGCCAGTCAGGGACTCAGCACTGACCTGAAACACAGGCAAACCCAACAGGTCAAGCCGGGCTTCTTGGGAGTTGCTGGAACCTCCATCTAAGTAGATTCTAAAATCACCCCAAGCACAGCTTCATGGCTTAGGGAAATCCTACGCTTGAACGCTTCCGGGGTCCTGAGGCTATAATAGCTACAGGATTTTAAGGCAGTTTCTGCTGAAGGAGCTACAGAAGAACAAGCAAAGGGGCTTCTGTGGTGCTTAGTATTTTGCTGCTTTGGGAATTCAGTAACTAGATTCTACATACCCTCAAAGATCTTCGAGCAAGGCTGCTGTACAAACACAGGGGACTGACAATATATGAGCGTTGTTAGTAATAGCCAAAAAGTACAAATAAACTAAAACTAGTCAATGTAGGAGAGGTTACGTGAAAAGCTCCATTAAATAATGTCAGTGCCTCACACGGCTTATGGCATGCAATCATCAAAAAGAATCAGTGATTCTGCATGTGCTGACATGAAAGCTACCCCAGATATGTGGCTAAGTCAACAAAACACAGACAAAACAACCCACTTATAGTAAGAGATATTTGTTGTACCTGTGCATGTGAATATTTGTGTGTAAATAATTATTAAACTTATTATCACTTATATAGCGCTCACTATGTGCCAGACACCATTACATATCCTTTAATTATATCATTTGGTTTAGTCCTCAGGATCGTCCCTATGAGACAGGTACTATTATTCCCATTTTAGAGGTTATAGAACAGAGAGGTTAAGCAACTTGCCCAAGGTCACACAGTTAGGAATTGGCAACAATAGGATTCGAAAATAAGGCCGAATGGTTGCAGAGTCCAGACCTTTAGCCAGTATACTACACTGTATAGAAAAACCCTGAAGGACACAAATTTAATATGTGTTTCTTCTCTGAAGGGAGGCAGAATAGGAGAAGATAGTGGGCTTTTACTTTTAAATGTGGGTATATCTATCCTGTCTTCTCATCAGAATGGCATGCAATACTGGTCTGATTTTCAAAGATAAATTTTTTTTTTTAAAAGAGAGCTTGCAAAGATTTGAGGTCTACATGAACTCTATTGTGACAATTTGAACATGCCACGATTTTTCAGTTTACATTTGTTTGTTACTTTTGCTGATTATATCTGTCTTTACCACTAGAATCTAAGTGCCAGGAGAACACAAATCAGGCCTATTTTTGTTTATATTGGTATGCCTGACATTTGGTGAGGTGCCTGACACACAGGAGGTGCTCCACAAATATTTCCAGAATGAATGCAAGCGTGAGCGATTGTCTGCTGAGGGCAGCGAGCAGCCAATCATCTTTGGCCGTGGGCAATGAAACTGGCTCCCAGCATGCTCTGCTCCTCACCCTCTGGCATCCAGAGCGTGAGCTGCCACATGCTGGGGGCACCCTTCCACCCGTCTGTCTTTACCAGAGCTCCTATCCCGAGTCTCTACTACTGAGCACACCCAGTCCAGGAAGGCATAATCCCTATTGGCGTGGAGAAATGTACCACATGCCCAAGACGCACAAAGTTTAGTATGTGGGAGAGATGCAAAACAACTGGGAGGTGGCGGTCAGGAAGAGAAAACTGGGTGGAAGCAAGTGGATTGCCAGGCCTAAAAAAAACTCAGGGATGATAAATGTAAAATGTTTTAAATTAAATTAGGTATGTAATCCTGAAGAGGTCTTTCGGCTGTTAATAAAATGTCTACACAATATATTGATTTATAGATTTTGAACTCAATGTACTCCTAAAAGTTGGAGCTTAGCATTAACTAGAAAATGCCTTATTTGTTTTAGTAATTATCTTCATTCTGGCTCAGTATAATTTCAAAAATCAAATACCTCCATTTTAATGCAGTTTTTTTTTTTCATTTGATGTAAGGCCTTTTTACTGGCACTAGTTTATAAGAGTTTACAGTGATTTTCCAGTATAAGTACATCAAACTATGTAGGCCCCTCCAGGCCCATGAGAGAATGACTTGTATGACAAATAATTTAAAAGTTCTAATTTTCTAAGAATATGTTAGAATTTGGTAATAATTGTTTGCCTGTTTTTATTTTATGTAAAGGGACAGATTTAATGTTGTTACTATTTCTTTGAAAGGCAGTAGCTATTTCGTTTGATTCATCAATTCCACCACCAGAAATTTCTCCTATAGTTACAGTCACAAAAGAAGGTTCAGCTATATTACAGCATAGTTTTAATAGCAAAAAAAAAAAAAAGCAAACAATTTAAATGCCCATAAGTGTGGGAATGGTAAATAAGTTATCATACAGGCACATGAAAGAATACTACACAGATTCTATCTTTTCTATCTGAAAAGACAGATCTGTAAGTAACAACATAGATATCCATGATAGAGTGTTAAGAGGAAAAAATTAAGATATATATATATATCTTAATTTATACACACACACAATGAGGTTTATTGAGCACATGTGTGTAAAAATTTACATATATAAAAACTCATACATGGACATCAGGTTGCTTAGTATAGAAATATGAAGATAACCGAGCAGTAGAAACTATTTTCTGCCCCCTCTCTGGGAATCGAAACTACATTTCTTTTTATACAATTCAATGTTGTTTTAATATGAACCATGTGTACATACAACCTTAATTTTCTTAACAAGTAATACGCATAGGCATGGTAAAAAATATTCAAATGTGAAAAGGGGTATGTAGATAAAACTAAGTCACCCCTTCTACCTCAGTCTTCCTTCCTAGAGACTCCCTTTAGGTCTTTTGTCTAGCTTTCCAAAGGTAGCCTATGTACCATGTACTATTTCTAGCATTAAAAATTCTAGTGTAAAAAAATTTACAGAAGAACCTTCCCAATGAACAGTCTAATAATCACAAAGTCCTACTCTGTTATAGCAATTTTATCTTAACCAGAATGACAGTATCCTACTGAATTTTGTGTCAGGCACAGATCGGAACTCTGTATACAATCCTGAAAAAAAGGAATATCATCGTTGTCTTCATTTGCTATATGAAGAAACACAGACATCTAGAAGTTAGGTGATTTACCTAAGTTTTTTTTTTTTTTTTTTTTAATAATTTAGGTGACTTACCTATCTGGCAAAGAACAGAACAGGGTTCAAATCCAGATCTGGACTGAGATCCTAGGCACTCGTATGCACACTGTTACGCTCTCAATTGAGGTGCCATTTCCAAAGTAAAACTGTCCCTACCCAATAGCACAGCAGTTGCAACTCCATGAATAACTGTACTTCTCATTTCTTCAGTGAAAAGTTTAGTTTGTAAGAGGAGAGCAGTTTAGAATACATTCCAAAGCTTGGCTTGGAGAGAACTACACGTTAGTATGTTAGGATACACGCAGACTCTGGAAAGTTAGGAGGCAAAGCTTGGCACATATATGATAGACTTTCCAAAGGAAACCCAAGGCTTCGTCCTTTGTCTGGCCTACACATAAGACATGACTAACACTCGACATACAAGTGCATCTGAAATCACTGTGGAGCTCAGAAACCCCAGCAGAGTGCGCTGGAAGCCTGCTTAAGACTGTGTTCAAAAGTACTAACCAGCACAGACCACCAGAGGTCACTGCAGACAACTGTACCTGACAGCCAAACTTAAGTTGTTAAAGAAACTACCTTTCCATGTAAAGGGAGGCAATGATCCAGTTTCTTATCAAGCTTCCAGGAATCCATGTGGACCTCTGCCTCTCCAAGGAAAGCGTTTCTGCCAAAACGGCCATGATGCCAAACTGAAAACTGCAAAGTCCTCTGGGCCAGGAGAGATTCTGGGATCTCGTACTGCGAAGGGAAAGAAGCCCAAGATGATTTGTTGGTGGTAATTCTGCAGAAAGGATTGTTCAAGAATGTGAGCAAACATACCTGAAGTCCCAAGTTCTGAATATAAAATTACTTTAGTTCCTAAGCACTTTGAGTTCCTCTCTCAGATCTTCAACTTACCCCATTTCACAAAAACCTACCATATTCCATAGGAGGACCTGACGTGGAATATTCATTTATTTTTCCTTGAATGGATAAGAGAACACTGGAACATTCAAAAAGAGTTTTCACGGAGGTTCCTTATGCCAAATGACTTTTTAAAATGAGATCTGTGGCCACGTGAATCTCCAACTTCACAACAATCCAAGAAAGCCAGATCCCCTTTGTTCTCTTCTCTGGAAGTCAGGATGCGAACAGATGCCCAGAGTGTATCCCGGACAGAGACATGGGCACTGACACCCATATCAGCCTGCCGTGTCCCAGAGGAACAGTTACAATGGAGGGCATGAGACAGAGCAAGTTCTCCTGCCGTCGGGATCAGGATACTTACTCTGAGGATCTCATCATAGAGTGGATGGATGGTGTCCCGCTTGATGCTGGTTTTTCTTTTTCCTTGACGGGATTTGTCAGGTAGAAGGTAAGTCTTCACATATCTAGAAAGCAAAGAGAATACTTCGTCATTTCTCATTTCCCCACTCCATTCCTTACTCCCGCTCCTCACATTCATGACGAAATGAAAGTGTCACTTCAAGCCCCCTTAGACACACCATTTTTGCGTTTTCCTGATCCTGGTTCTTTCCCCCACCTTGTCTAACCACTTTTGATCACACCACCCTGCTCCTCCAGGAAGTGAGAGCCTCAGTCCACGGGTGCCCGGAGAGGTGCCAGGGTCTGAGCCCTGCTCTTAAAGCATGCGCCGGGTTCCAGGAGCACTCACGGGTTAGAGCGCTTCTTGGCTTCATCGGCGTAGGCCAGGTCGTGGCACTCCTTCACATGGATGACCAAAGTCTGTGACTGCTGCTCGTACTTCAGGGAAAAGGTTATCTTGCCAGTCACAGAGATGTTCCCAAAATCACCAGCTTCGCTATAGATGCTCATCATGCTGCCGATTGTACTCTGAAGATAAAGCACCCACAACATCTAGGAAAGGCACACTCCCCCTGCCACCTGGTGCACAGCTCCCCCTCACGCTAAAGCCACCCAAGTTTCAGAAGCCCATACCACAACCCAGTTTTGTGAACAGCCTCATACCCAGAACACAAGAGGAAGCTGGAAGCTCACTCACAGATTTTCACATTAATAGCTCCGTCAGGCTAACCTCGGCTGTTAGCTTCTCTTCTCCCACTCATTTCATATACTTTTGTCCCACCCAAAGGTTGACAAGAAATAGGGAGAGGTAAGAGTCAGCTAAGAAAGTAAGGTTCCATTTTGAACATGCACTCTATAGGCTAAAACGTTACTCATTTAAGCTAGGTGCCTTTGTACTGACAAATTAAAGAAGGTGCTTTGATTATATTTTATCCTTGTCAAGATCTATAGAGTGAAGTGACTGGCTCAGAATTAGGGGGAGACCCTGAGGGGTGGTGAAAAGCCATCTTCCTCTCAGGCGGTACCAAGCTAACTCTGTGAGTGGGAGCTAACTGTAATCACTCTGGTTTCTGACTCTTATCTCTCCTAAACAGCAGTCTTCATACTTCTGACAGAACCAGGCCGTGATTGGCAAATGTCCCTCTTAACTCTGTGATTCTATTATACTCTTGTTGCTCCTTAATCATACCCTCACCCAGGAAAGTCTGCTGGGTTGTTCTCATGACACAGACGACTTTTAAATGTGGGATTTGGAGAGGGCTCTGATGAAGAAATCTGATACTGTTCACTTTGTGGCCTAGGCACCCCCTAAACGGAGAAGTTCAAGGTGACTGCTCACAAAGCTACGATGAAGAACGTCTCTAGCCCAAACAATCTGACAAAAGACTCTCCAGAGCATAGGGTGAGGAAGTCATCTACATGTGCGCTGAGCAGCTTGCAGGTAGGAATAAGTGAATACACTTCACATACCTGAGAAGAGTGAAGATTTCTCCAGCTCCTCACTCTGCTTAAGGGAGTTCCTTCCTTCCTTCCTTCCTTCCTGGTACCCAACATGCCTCTAGCCACTAAATCTTTAGAACTTACCATGGAGGAGCCGCTTCGCATGCTGCTTCTGGCCAGTTTCTGGCGATGCAACTTCACCAGGTGGTCAATGTCTTCTTCTTCCTCTTCCTCTTCCTGAAGCAGTATGTATAGATCCAGTTAATAAAACCAGGGGGGAAGTTTAAAGACTAAGAGACTTCTTCTGGTGGGAATTTATTACTGTTGCTAAGTTCTAAGGCGTTGTGTTCACACATACACGTGTATCCTTATTTTTATACCTCCCCATTTCAGGCTGCCAAAACTGAATTCCAACTATCTCTTGAAATCCTTAAAGAATAAAATTATTTTATTTCTTTCCCATTTGACTGCCCGACACACCCATCCTTTTTCACTTTAATCAAAATAATTATTTATTTGCACCCCAACTAGCATTAAGTCAGAAAGTAGAGACAATGAAGGCAGTTCTTCTCTTGAAGCAAATCAACAGCCAACTTAATTTCAGCAATCTGGAGGAATCAAAATTCATGTTACCTTTCCCTAAAGAATTAAACAGGTTACTTGAGAGTATCGGATACTAAAGTCAACTCTACATTTATAAAATTTCATGTACAGACAAGGGAGAGGCAAAGGTACTTACCATATCTACACTGAGGCCTGGGACTGATTTGCTTCTGTCTCCCAAGGAGCCACCCTCATGCCCCACATCTTCTGGGCGAAGATCAATCACAGATTTAGTATATTCTGAGTGGAAGACCAAAAACCCTACTCAGAGGGAACCTGTTCTGCACAGCAAACGCCCAGTAAGTGTACTCAGAATTTTAATCTCATTAAGCCACAAAGGGAAGCAGCTACCTGGAGGCCTGAGGACCTTTCTAGTGTTCTTCTTGAAGATCATTTCACCCTCATCAACAGATAGCACAATTTGACCTCCAGGCTGAGTTTCCTAGGAAGGAATAAGGGCAAGGAAATGGAAAGAGTGCTTGGGTAGGTGGAAGGTGGAGCAAAGAAGGATGGCCTTAAGAAGAGTAAGGCTCAGACTTTCACTCAACACGACACACTCAAAGGAAAGCTTTTTATGCGGAGGGACTAGTACAAAACATATTTTCCTTACATGTTTTGACCAAAACCTTAGAAAATGCTTTCAATTGCATCTCGACTGAAACTTAATTCAATTCTTCATTGAAATTCTTGGAAGGGAAAGAAAGGAAAGGAGACAGAGAGAGGGCAGGAGGAGGAAGAGGAGAGGGAGGGGGAAGAAGGAGGATGGGGAGGGGAAATGAAGGAGGAGATGGAGGAGGGAAAAAGGGAAAGGAGTTGGGGGAGGAAAAGAGTGGTGAGGGGAGAAGGGGAAGGGGCATGAGGAGATCATAAGAACCCTAAATTAAAGCTTGCCTTCTCTACTTGAGGTTTGGGGGCAGACATCTTCTTCCATTCTGGAAAGAGGCCAGATTTATCCAGAGAGTCTCTCCTGGAGGTAAAGAGAGAAATTATATCAAAATCACTTTCCCCCTCCCCCCTCTATCCAGGAACCCATTCTCCATGAGAATGAGAGCCAGTGGCTTGGGGTTACCATAGTAACCAAATGCAGAAGGTAAACGTCACAGTCACGTATGATCAACCCTGAAGGTATGTGCACGATGAGATAAACAACTTTGCACAAACACAAACGCTCACACCCCCACTCCTAAGGCAGAGCAGCCTCCGTAGTTCCTGCTCTAGGAATCTCGCGACAGTGCAGCAGCCTGAGGAGGTTAACCTCCTCCAGAGTCTCTGCTCACGACCATGCAGGAGAAGTGGTTCTGGAAGGCTTGTACCAAGCTCAGAGCAAACTTTTCCTTCAATTTCTCAAGGGCGGAAGTCAGGAACCCCGAAGGCACAGGGACACTGCACTCCCGAGCTGGAGAACCCACGTGGAGCAGAGGTAGGGAGTGGGGGCTCTTACCTGGAGGTGCTATCTGAGTCAGCTGTGTAGCTGTCCAGACTCTCGCTCTCAGCCTCCAGCACGCTCTTTCCGCTTTTTGGCTTGGGCACTTCAAATGGCACACTAGAAGATAAACCAAGGGCCCAAATGGAGAGGACGCGGATGCTCCTGCCGGGACTCAGGCCCCTTCCAACCCACTGCCGATGGCAGCCCTAGATCTTTCTAAGGTAAGTACCTGAGAAGCATTTTAGTGTTCAGTGATTTTTTTGAGCTACCATTGGCTTACACTGTTTGTATGTTGGAAGTCTGGGGTCCTCGTCCTTTGCGCCCACCACCATGGTCCACCGAGCTCCCGCCGCTCCTGTGCTTGCCCCTCCCCCTCTGAATGTCTCCATTTTAGAGTCTGCTTTCAAGGGTTAGTTTTTGAGTGTGGCTTCATCTGATCCTTGCTCTAGTTTTTCTATGCTTCACAGAAAAGTGATAGTTGGCAAACTTTTTAAACTGTTGAGTGGTTCCCAAGTCTTGTTGAGTTCAAACTCTTTAGCATGGCAAGAAAATCCTTACGATCTGGTCCCTGCTTGCTTCTCTGGACGCGTTTCACTCTCTACCTCTCCTTATGCTTTACATTTCAGAAAGACGTGCATCTTTTGGTCCTTAAATGTGCCAAAGCTCTCCCTCTTCCCTCTTCTCTTGTCTGGGATGCTCTTTTCACAATGGCCATTTTTCTGTACTTGCTTAAATCTATTCCTTCTTCAGGTCTCTCCGAAGAGAGATATATAAGTACTTGGTCACTGTCAGTTCCTCCAAATCTCTGATGCTAACCACGCTAAGGCTACATGAGTTACTCTTCTATGTGTTCCTACAGCGCCTACTTTCTTCATTGCAGATACTGCACTGATTGTTTACTTCTTTTAAACAAATTATTTAATTTGTTCAATAATTTGAACAAAAGATTTTTAATATCCTTCTGTTTCACCAAATTAAGTTCCCTGGGAGCAGTGACCATATCATCTTGTTCTCCAATGTGTGGAAGAGAAATTAACTTAAAGTGAGCACTCAAACATGGGTTAACTGAATTCTTGCCTAAATGCCCACCCTCAGTGGGGATTAAGGTAAATACATAAAGAAGCAGTCATTTGGATGACACTATTCAGAGCAGAATTCTTCTCAGCTTAATGAAAGGTGACCCCTAGGTACCCTAAAGGGATGCCTAGACCCCCTGCCTCACCAACCCTGGACTCTACCCAGAATTTGCGAGAGCAAAGAAAAGGGGAAAAGTATATCAAGTACTTTTACTTGGCTACCAGGATGCTACCCTGCGTTCTGGATTTATCCTCCGACCTCGACCTCACTGGCTCCTCCTTCCAGTCTCCTTTGCTGATCCTACCTCATTTCCCAGACTTCTAATTTCTGGATTGTATCCAGCCTTATTCCTTGGCCATCTTCTCTATCTAAAATTATCCTAAAGTGATCTCATGTAGTCTCGTGGCTTTAAGTAATCCTTTATAAACTAATAACTCCTAAATTTATCTCTCCCTCAAATGCCAGACTTGTACAACCAATGGCCTATTAGACATCTCTGCTCAGATGTCTCAAACACATCAAGTCTAAAAAAAATGCTATACTCTATCCCCAAACCTATGCTTCCTTCCAAATGACACCCTTCCTTTCATGTCTCAAGTCAAAAAGCTCAAGAGTCATCCTTGAGGCCTCTCATTCTCTCACAGTACAAATCTCATGTTTCCCTTTGGTCCATCTTCGATGTAGAATATGACCAGTTCTTTATCACTCTACTATTATTCTGGTCCACACCACCATCACCTTTCACACAGATGGCTGCAATAAACTCCTAACCGATTTCCCTGCTTTTGCCATTATCCCAGTAAAATCTCTTCCCAGTACAACAGCAAAAATGAGCTTTTAAAATATAATTCCAATATAGAAATACCATATGGCCCTGCAACTCCACTCTTATGTATCTACCTATGACAGCTGAAAATATGTTTCCAATCAAAAACTTTTTTACATGAAACTCACAGCAGATCATTCATGATAGCCAAAAGGTGGAAACAGAGCAACTGCCCATCAGGGGATGAATGGGTAAATCAAATGTAGTCTGTCCATGCAATGAAATAAAAAGGTAATGGATTTCTGATACGCTCTACAACAGGATGAACCATGAAAACATGTGAAGTAAAAGAAGCTAGTCACAGTCACATTTTATATGACTCCATTTATATGAAATGTCCAGAATTGGCAAATAATCCATAGAGACAGAAGGCAGATTAGGTGCTGGGAGAAATGAGGGGTGACTGCTTAATGGGTATAGATTTCCTTTGGGGAGAGATAAAAAGGTTCTGAAACTAGAACAACACAACATTCTAAAAGTACTAACGGCACTAAAAGGCATTGAACTGTGCACTTTTACAATTTATGTTAAGTGACAGATTTTATGTTAAGTGAATTTTACCTCAATTTTAAAAAGAAAAAAAAACCACAGTACTGTTCAGAGCAACCCCCTTTACTCAGATTCTTTGCAAGAGTCAAAGGTCTCATAAGCTTTGCTTCTTAGCCTACCCTACCTCTCCCCTCACTGAGTTCCAGATTACTGAAACGTGTCAAGCACAAAGTCACCTTAGTGTTGTTATACCTGCTGCCCCTCTACCTAGAATGCTTTCCTGCCAGATAACTGTCCAGGTTTTTGCCTTCATTTGCTTCATGCCTTTATCCAAATGTCACCTTACTAGTAAGGCTTTTCCCTGCCGACCCCAAATATAAAGTCACATATGCATATATGCTTTCCTGGCACTCCCTACCCCATTAGTGTCCTTTACTTTCTCCGTAGCACTTGTGAAAATTAGAATGTACAATGTACGTACTTGATCATTTATTGTCTATGTCTCCTCCTCCAAGTCTAAGTGGCACAGGCAAGGGACTTGGTTGGACGTACCAGTGCATCTCACTGCCTCAAATAGAGCCTGGTGAATTGTACACATGTGCAGATACTTGTTAAGCAAATGAATGAAGTAATGAATTGACAAAGAACAAAGTAGCCAAAATGTATAATGTCTCAGGCAGTAAAGAATCGGCTTTCAAGTTATCACAGGACTTTTGAGGTAGTTCTATGAAAACAGACAGCACGAGTTGACATCCCAGCACATGCAAAAAGTGAGACAGCTCAGTGGCTCAGAGACGTGTTAGCTTCATAGTACAATACATAGCAGGGAGTTCCGTTCCATTTTTACTTTAGAATCATTCTTTTTACCTTTTTGCGTGAAAGAATAAAAAACTCAAAACAGAACCATTCCTCTAGAGAGAGAGTCTAGCAATGGCCCATGGAGAGTGCTTTCTGCTTATATTTTTTCCTAGAGATTAATATGCCCTGATCCAGAGCTGATACAAACCACCCTAGGGCAAAAAAAGCAATTATTTGACATCTGTGCAGTAAAAAATAGACTAAGAGATGGGAACCCTGGACTTTAACTGCCTGTATGATCTCAGGTAAATCACTTATCCTGCTTTCCTTTCTGCAAAAGTAAGGGGGTGCAATTAGATTATCTCTGAGGCTCCATAATTTTATGGAAAAGATCATTTATGGTCACTTAATCTGTTCTCATGTTTAGCATAAATAAAAGTCTTCTGGTTCAATAAGACAAGAGGTCCTAGACAGCCAGAAGCAATAGGTTTCAGAAATTGTATTCTGACTGATGATGTCAGATGTGTTAATCAGGTTCAGAAAATAAAAGCCATTCTTGTCCTTATCCACAGAGGAAAAAGGGGCCCCATCATCTAGGACAGATGAGTCACTCAGCCAAAGCTGTGTGGAAAAAGTCCCAGAATATACATGCGATGAAACACCATACATATCGCAAAAAGAACAAGCCTGATCCTTGGTGCTGATGTGGAAAGATGTTCCTGTGATATCTTGTTGCAATTTTTTCCTTTTACACTGAGTTATAACTGACAAAATGAGCTGCACATGTTTAAGTGTGCAATTTGGTGAACTTTGACATATGTAAACATCCATCACCACAATTAAGTTAGCTGAACACAGCTATCACCCTCACAATTTTCCTTTTGTTCCTTCATAATTCATCCTTCTCTCCTGTCTCTGTCCACAGGGAGTGCTGATCTGTTTTCTGTCACTAGGATTTAGGTTGCATTTTATAGAATTGTATATCAACAGAATCATACAGTGTATGCTACTGTTTGTTAGGCTTCTTTCACTCAGCGCGCTCCTTCTCAAACACATCCCTGTCACTGTCTGCATCACTAGCCCATCCTTTTCCATTCCTGAGTAGTACTCCATTGTAGAAACAAGCCAAAGATTATCCAATTACCTGCTGATGGATAGTATAGCTGTTCCCAGCTTTTGGCTACTATAAATAAAGCTGCTGTCAACATTCACTCAAATCTTTCTATGGATTTAGGGTTATATTTCTCTTGAATAAATACCTAGGAATGAAATGGTTGAATCACAAGATAGATACACAGTTAATTTGTCAAAACACTATAACCCTAACCCTAACTATTAAACTGCTTTCCAAAGGGGCTGTACCATTATTTATTTCCATAAGCAATGTGTGAGAATTCTAATTGCTCTCCATCCTCATGTACAATTGCTATGGTTGGCTTTTTAAATTTTAGCCATCCTAGTTCATATAGTAGTACTGTTATTTTTACGGAATTTTTCAAATGATTAATAATGTTGAGTATAATTTCATGTGCTTATTTGACTCCTATATATCATCTTTGGTGAGATGGCTATTCAAATCATTGGCCCATGTTCTGCTGGATTACCAATATTACTGTTTTTAAAGTTCTTTTTCTGTCATTATGTGTATAGTATGATTTAACTTGTAAGAGAAACCACAAAATTAAAAATCCAACCCATATTTATATCCTTAGACATTTAGCAGTTTTGACACAGCAAAACTATTAAATAACTATTAGCAAGACTTGTTTGGGCAGAGGCAGTGAGGTTACTGGCAACTCGATTTATATATTCTTATACTTCTTTTCAATGACCATATAAAAAGTAAAAGTCTTTTTTTTTTTTTTCTGCAAGCTAGGAAACACACAAACCCAAACATTCACCAGCAGCAATGGAATGAGGCAAGGAGTGGAGCCTCAAGTCACAAAGTTCCAAAGGAAAAAAAAGCTAAGTTTAGCTCAGCAAAACTGTTTCCAATGGGTGATGTCTACTACGCAAGGGCACAGGCAGTCCTGACAGGAGTCAAGGAAAATCAAAGTCCTCAAAGGTGTAGTTTGAGGTACCAGTAGGGGACCTAAATAGAGTAACACAAGGACACTGGCAGGAGCTGGTAGGAGAGGATGCACCCAGAGTTAGATGGTGCCAGCTCAGGATATTTAAGAGAATTTAGAATCAAAGCCAGGACCCCTAAATTCCCTGCCACCGCCCCCATCATAATAGAAAAAGAAGCATTAAGAAAAGCAGTGTTCTATTCTAAAACTAAAGTATAGCTGGGTGTGGGAAAGAGATCAACTTGTTTCCACTTGAGATGAGAGGCCAGTCAAGAAGTCACAGGCATTGTATAGAACAAAGGCAAAGGCAAAGGCAAAGGCAAAACTTGTTAAGTTTCTAAGCTCTAAGAAAAATAAAAAGAACTTTTTTTGGCCCTCCCTGGTGGCACAGTGGGTTAAAGCACGGCACTAAGAAAAAAAGCCACTTCCACATGAGTTCAATTCCAGCCTGCCTCGGAGGTGACCACATGGCGTGGCAGACCTCTCCTGACCCGCCCACTGTTCCCCTTAGCAGTGTTCTTTGTTGATCTGCCTATTCTGCTCCC